AAAAGGGAAAGGTTGACAGCTATGGGACTAGAGGGAAGTCAATTTGTTTTGCTTTGGTATTGTTACTGTTACTGTTATTTCTTGAAAATCAATAAATTGCTATTAAAAAAAATTAAACTGCGCTGTTGCTTTGCGATGCCCTTCCGCGATGCCAAACGCCCGTGCGATCCTCAGGGGGAATGAACGGCGGCGGCAGCCCCAGCCCCTGCAATGCAGGAATGGCAGCCAGAGGGTCCCCCAGGGGTCATCTAGCCCAACCCCCCGCGACCCAGGAAGAGCCCCGGCGGCCGCTCCGAGAAACGAAGCCGCTTTTCCTCTCAGGCTGCTGGGAATAACAGGGAATAACAGGGAATAACCTGTGGGGTGGGGGAGGGGGAGAACCCCCCACAAAAATTGGGGAAGGGAAGCTGAGGAGAAAGAGGGGTCGCTACTACCAATATCACCATTATTATTATTATTATTATTATTATTATTATTATTATTATTATTATTATTATTATTATTATTATTATTATTCCTTTCCCGGGGCTCTGGCCCCACCAGGTGCGGGGGCGGCGGGCCCGGGCCTTACCGGACTTGGGCGGGTACCGGTAGGCCGAGTTGGCCTGGATGTCGATGTCCTCCACGCCGGCGATGCGGCGGCTGAGCAGGGAGCCCATGGCGGTCGGCGGGTCTCGTCGGCGAAGCCTCTTCTTCTCCCTCAGCGAAGCCCCCTCAGACACTCCGTCAAGGCGGCGAGGCCTGCAGGCCGCTCCTGCGCGGGGCACCACGGGAAAGAGAGTCCTCGCGCCCAGGCCCTTCGCGTGGTTCGCCGCGGAAAGGGAGCCCGTCAGCGGACTACAACCCCCAGGAGGCGCCGCGCCGCGCGGGGAGAAGAGAAAAACACAACAATGGGAGGGCGTGGGAAGCGCGGGGCGGGGCCTGACCCTCAGCCAATGGCAGCGCGGGACGGTAGAGATAGGAAAAGGTAGAGCTTCCCATCTGTACGTGGCGGGGGGGGGGAAGTGAAGTGAGTTTATTTAGCTCAGATTCCTCGCGCTTGGTTTTTAGGTCAACCTGAAAATTCAGTAAGAATGTATTTGCTTTTGTAAAATGTAGTTTAACAATTCAGCTGTTTATGGAAGAATGTAGAGTTTCCCACCCTGAACTGAGGGGGAGACATCCTAGTATTAATTACTCTTGAGAGTCCCATGGACTGCAAAAATATCAAACCTCTCCATTCTGAAGGAAATCAGGGTCAATTTTTATGGTAGCCCAAATCTCAGTTGTACGGGTGTAGGTATATATCTCAATTTTAACTCATGAGCTATTGATGCAATCTGCTCTGATTGTACATTTTATCTTTAGGAACACTGTTTTTATTGTGTTATGCGCGCTGGTCTTTGACCGCAATAAATAATCTATCACCCTGATGTTGGGAAAGACGGGGACACAAGGAGAAGGGGATGACAGAGGACGAGATGGTTGGACAGTGTTCTCGAAGATACCAGCATGAGTTTGACTAAACTGCAGGAGGCAGTGGAAGACAGGAGTGCCTGGCGTGCTCTGGACCGTGGGGACACGAAGAGGCGGACATGACTAAACAACAACAATTTCTGTCCTGTTTTTAAAGCCAACATGAAATATACTCTGAGTTGAGTGTGGATTTCATGCTCTTTATTCAGCTCATAGTAGAGAGGAAGGAATGGAAGTTTTCCCAGAATGTCTGCTTTATATACATTATTTACACAATGGGCTGCACGTGATTGGCTAATTCCGGGATTCTCCTTTAGGTCAATCAGGTTGCAGATTCACTTCCACCTGGAGCTTGATTGGGTGGCTTCTGCAGACCAATCACACTGCTGCATTCTGGATCCTATTGTTCTAGGACCAATCAGACTGCTGCATTTTGGATCCTATTCAAGTCAGTACATAACACAACTTGACAACTCAATAATTAAAAAACGGTTAAGCAGAACTTAAACTTTTCCATACGGTATATATTGTTACAGCCCATCCCAGTCCCCACCAAGCGGTGCGCGAGATTGCAGGGGCTCCAGGCGCTTGTCCTGGGCTCGTATCACCAGGCTGGATGACAGCTGACAGAGCGCAGGACACGTGATTCCTGCACTGCGAGGGGTTGGGCTAGATGGCCCCTGGGTTTCCCTTCCAACTCCACAATTCTATGCTTCTGTGAAAGTCCTGCGCAAGAGCCCAGAAATGCAGGCCTCGGCCGAGGACCCTCCTCACTCGCCCGCCCTATAAACTGCGCGCAGCAGCGGTTCCGAAGCCGCCAGGAGCCGCCCTTTGCCAGACTGGCCGGATTCCCTGCCCTGGAGCCGCCACGTGATGGGGACCCTCCCTGCGCCCGCCTCCTCTGCAAGCTCATTGGCCCTGCCCGATAGTCCTTTTACCTAATATGGCAAGGTTGCCCGCGCAGGATCTTTGCTCACTGGTTGGCTCCACCTGTCAGTCCAGCTGTATCCGTTCCCGCCCCGCAACAAGTAGGACAACAAAGCAAAGGCTTCTGGGTAATGTAGTCGACCCAGCGCTAGAGAAAGCGGCGGGGCGAAGAATTGGGACCCTCAGGGGTCATCTGGTCCAACCCCCTGCAATGCAGTACATAACAGCAGGAATCACAGAGCAGAGATCTCGCCTGGATCTCTCTAAATCAAGTGAAGTGGCTGAATTAAACCAATACCTTATTGATTTCCTCCTGCAGCACCATCATTCGTCATCATTAGCATTAATAGTGTGACTCTGTATTCCTTGCACAGATTCATATTATTTTATTTTGTATATAGATATACATAAGTAGTACAATGATAATTATTGGAAGTTACATATTTTAATTTGTCATGTAAGTGTAATATATTGTATTTGTTTGTTTTTCTAACTTTTCTTACTTGTTTTTATTCTTTTGTATTATATGTTATGTATATTTGTCTATGTGAAAATTAATAAAGATTTTCTTTTAAAAAAGCATTAATAGTGTGACTCTCCTGCCCATAATCTTGGAGGAGAGCACAGGGCGCCGCCACAAAGGAGGCTCCGCAAAGGAGTCTGTGGAAGAATGGCGTGGCAGGGGCTGCGAAGGGCTATGAACGGGCCCATCCATCCTGTTATAAGAAAAAACTGCTCCTTTTCCCTTATGTGGCACCCAAGAGCCCATATAGGGTCCTTATGTAGGTTCTCTATCGGTCGGAGAAAATAACACAGGCCAAGCAGAGAATATTGAGAAGCAAAGCAGCTAGTAAGACTGATCTTTATTAAACTGTTGCAACAGAGTGCTCAGAACCACACGCAGGAGGGAGTAGAGGAACCCAGAACAATAGTGCACAAGCTCTGATATAGACTTTTGAAATTGCCCACACTGTAGGCCAAGACCACCCCCCCAAAACATCATTCATACATACACTGCAGAAAGAGGTGGTCCCCAGCAGAAATTTGAGTGTGTTGTTTCTCTCCTGTCTGCCAGAATACCTGATAATGCCTTATCTCAGAGGTGTCCAAACTTTTTTCAAAGAAGGCCAGATTTGGTGAAGTGGTCATGCGTGAGGGCCAACCAAAGCTGTTGAGTTTTTTTAGGATTTTACCCCAGGAAGTAAACTGCCACAGGGGCTGGATTGAATTGACCGGTGGGCCGGATTAGTCCCCCGAATCAGACTTTGGACATGCCTGCCTTATGATTGCATTTTCTGGGTAGCCTGGCAATTCCTTTGGGATGGTAAATACTTGCTGAATCTCTTATGCCCGGGGTGCCCAAACTTTTTTCAAAGAGGGTCAAATTTGATGAAGTGAACATGCGTCAGAGCCAACCAAAGTTATAGAGCTTTTTTAGGATTGAAGTTTTTACCCTGCAGGGGCCGGATTAAACCGACCAGCTATTACACCCCCAAAACAGACTTTGGACATGCCTGTCTTACACAAATTGATAGTGTGCTCAGTTTAACAGGTACTTGCAGACTGTATTTACAGTAAGGCCCTACAGTCCAAAGACCATTTGAAAGCTTTTCCCATTTCCTTCCACCTTGCAGAGAAATATTTGAAGTCAATTTGGGAGAGTCAAAATGCCTTTAGGATTGTTCTCCTGTACTATTTTAGACATGTAGTTTATATACCTATGTACGTTATTGCCTTGTACATTTATGAACATTTATTCTATATATATCAGACCTTAGAATTCCTGTAACACCGGTCTATGTTGTGCGGGGTCGACTGGCCACGCACTCTGTGTAGGTTCAGGAACACGCCACTGGGGGAAACGTCAGCATCCCAAGCGGCCCTGGGGGCTGAGCCTTGTCCCCCTAAGCCATGGGTAGGCAAACTAAGGCCCGTGGCCGGATGCGGCCCAATCCCCTTCTCAATCCGGCCCTCGGATGGTCTGGGAATCAGCGTGTTTTTACATGAGTTGAATGTGTCCTTTTATTGGAAATGCATCTCTGGGTTATTGGGGGGGGCATAGGAATTCGTTCATTTTTTTCTTCAAAATCTAGTCCGGCCCCCCAGAAGGTCTGAGGGACAGTGGAGCGGCCCCCGTCTGAAAAAGTTTGCTGACCCCTGCCTAAGTAAAGAAGGGCAGACCCGTCCAGCGCGCGGCTTTCGCGGTGCCAGCGCGGAGTGCGCGCGTCCAGAGGCGCAGGAGAAGCAGAGCCCCCGTCCTCTCCCCTATGACATCTCCGCTGCAACCCCCCTCGAGGTACTCTGTACATGCTCAGAGGGCGGCGCCTGGCGCCCCTCGCGCGGAGAGAGCTCTCTTCTCGGGAAGCCGGCGGCGCGGCAGGACTCCTTGGACGGCAGCGGCGCGCGCAGCCGCTTCGGCCGAGCAGGCGGAGGCGGAGGCGGACCACAGCTGGCAGCGTCCCCGCCCGCCGGGCCGCCCCCTCCGGCCGCCCCGCCGCGCCTGGCCCTGCACGGCGGAGCGCGAGTCCGGCGTCGCCGGTCCTGCCCGCGGCGGGCGAGAAGCCGAAGGCGCGCCATGGCCTCGGCGTCGGGGGGCAGCGGCGCCTCGGAGGAGCTGAAGCAGCAGCTGCTGATCGGCCAGTTCGTGGTGGCCGCCGGCTGCGCCGCCGACCAAGCCCGGCAGCTCCTGCAGGCCGCCCGCTGGCAGTACGAGGTGGGCCGCGGAGGCGCCCGAGGGAAAGACGCCCCCTCTCGGCTTGGGAAAGGTCTAATATTAAGGGTGGGGAGGGAGAGAAAGCAAGAGGCGTCTGGGGTTGGTAGGATCGGAGCGGGATTCCGCCCTCGGGGCATGTGCAGAGTGCCTGCCCATCGCGCTCTTGCGTGGGCCACTTTCCCCATCTCACAGCTGGGTTAAATGCGTGCGCCTAGCCCGGGAGAGAGTGGGTCCTTCCTCCTCCCCAGCCAGCCGGGCCTGATCCATGCCCCAACAGGTTCACGTGGCCTCGTGGAGTAACAGGTGTCCGAGGCCGGACCGGGATGGGGGAGATGCAAGAGAAAAGAGAGAGGAAAGTTCCGACCAGAAAAGCCCGGTGTTTCCGACGCATGCACAATAACGTGTCATAAAATGCAGGTCACATTCCAGCAGCGCCCTGCAGGATTCCAGGCATCCGGACCCAGCAACTCTGCCGGACTACAACTCCCATCCTCCCTGACCGCTGGGGACGATGGGAGTTGTAGTCCAACAACAGCTGGGGATCCCGGTTAGAGGAAGACCAGCGCTGATCAGTGCCTGGATGGGGGACCAGCTGGAGACCTCAAATGTAGCTGCTGCCTCGGGTTCCATGGAAGAAAGATGGGATATAAACGCAAGGCAGGTAAAATAAATGCACCTGTACATCTCCCTCGCCCTGCAAAAAAATGCCTTGCAAACCCCACCAACAGAACTTCCAAAAGCTCATGAACTTTTTCCTGGCTTCTGCTAGAAGCTACTTGCTTTTGGAGGAAGTGTGTTTGTTTGCAGGGAGGGAAGGAAGGGAATTCAAATATTGAGTCTTCAGTTTGCTCAGTCAAAGAGCAAAGGACACATTCTAGCACCTGGGGATCCTATTAGAGGTCTATCCTCCCATTAAAATCCTGCTCTAACCAGGACTGAGATTATCCCCCTCCTCACCTTGCGGGGTGGGGGCTCCCTTGTGTTCCACCACCACCTCCCTTCTGTGCAGGGGGGGGATCCTCCAGCCTTCTGTCCCGGAGTGCCTTCATTCATTCTTTCATTTATATCCCACCTTTTACTTCCAAAGAGCTCAAGATGGCATACATGACTCTCCCCTTCCTCCTTTAATCTCCACAACAGCCCTGTGAGGTCGCCTAGGCTGAGAGAGGCAGTGACTGGCTCAATAAATGAGAGCTTCCCGACCTAAGTGGGGATTTGAACCCTGGTCTCTGCCAGGTCCTGGTCCCCCCGCTCTAACCACTACGCCACACTGTCTCTTTCCCCAGCTACCTAGCTGCCTCTAGAGCAGGGTTTCCCAAACCTGGGTCTCCAGCTGTTTTGGGACTACAATTCCCATCATCCCTGACCATTGATCCTGCTAGCTAGGGATGATGGGAGCTGTAGTTCAGAAACAGCTAGAGACTCTGACTGGAATTGCCTTTGGCCCTTTAATTGTGTGCATGTGCGCATATGTGCATCAATCTTAACAGCATCTTAGGCATAGGAGTGCAGGCCAGCCAGCAACACTCTGGTTACCTCTTCTTCCCGTTTCCCCTCTTTCTACAGACAGCCCTCAGCACGTTCTTCCAAGAATCCGGCATCCCCTACAGCCATCCCCATCATCAGATGGTAAGTGGCCTGCAAAACGTTTCCTCCTTGAGATGTTTATGGGATGAACAGGGCTTCCAGAACCTAGAAGTGAGTTTTGAGTGTGGATGAGGGGCAGGCAGGAGAGAGGCGTGCTTGCTGACCCCCCCTGGTCTGCAGAGAACCTAAGAAGAGCCTGTTGCTGGATCAGGCCAATGGCCCACCTGGTCCAGCAACCAGAGGCAGGATTGAGGGGAACACGACCGGGTTCTCCGCACTGGGCAACGAGGGGCACCACAACAAGGACTTCGAAGTCAAGAGGTGGGGGGGGGGCCTGCCTTTTGGCATCATGCAGGCCGCTGGTGAAATTTGGAAGCCCAAAGCCGGCATCCTGTTCTCCCAGTGGCCAACCAGACTCCCCCGGGGGAATCCACCCACAAGCAAGAGACCTGGGCACAGAGCAACTTTTGCCTCCTGTAGTTTCCAGCGGTGGACCTTCAGAAGCATGGCTGACCATGGAGGCCCAGCATAGCCGTCCTGGCTAGGAGCCATCGATTGCCCTCTTCTCTGTGAATTGGTCTCATCTTCTTCTAAAACAGGGGTCAGCAAGCTTTTTGAGCAGGGGGCCGGTCCACTGTCCCTCAGACCTTGTGGGGGGCCGGACTATATTTTGGGGGGGAAATGAACAAATTCCTATGCCCCACAAATAACCCAGAGAAGCATTTTAAATAAAAGCACACATTCTACTCAAGTAAAAACACCAGGCAGGCCCCACAAATAACCCAGAGATGCATTTGAAATAAAAAGACACATTCTACTCATGTAAAAACACGCTGATTCCCAGACCGTCCGTCGGCCAGATTGAGAAGGCGATTGGGCCGCATCTGGCCCCCGGGCCTTAGGTTGCCTCCCCATGTTCTAAAGCCATCTAGGTTGGCCTTCAGGAGTTTAATTATGACCTTCTTTTCTCTGTCCTGACTCTTCCAACTTTCAGCCTCGTTGGGTCTCCCTCTCCCTATCCCCCCAACCCCCCAGGGCTGCTGCAATTGGGGGCAGGACTGGGGACCTTCTTCCTTCTGCATGCCTAGCAGTTGCTCAGCCTCCTTCGCGACAGGCTTTGCCCAACATCCTCTGCCTTGTTTTTCTCCGGCGTCAAACAAGCTGAGCCAAAGGGATGGGGAGTCCGGGATTTTGTCGCGATTGCGACTCTGCCGCGGGAAGGATGGCTCCGTGGCAATGCTGGGGGGCACCCCCTCTGACCTCCCCCTCTTGTCTTCTTTCCCTGCAGATGTGCACGCCTGCCAACACGCCTGCCACCCCGCCCAGCTTCCCCGAGGCCCTCGCCATGTTCTCCCGCCTCAAGGCCTCGGAGGCAGCCGCCTCTCCTCCCCTTCCGCCGCCCCCACTGCCCCAGCCCGGAGGCTTCCCCTGGCCGGCCTGCTCCCTGCCTGGGCAGCCGGGCGCATGGACTGCCAGCCACCCTCTGCAGCCGGCAGGCTGGCCTGGCAGCCTCTCCCAGCAAGGCAGCTCCGAGCTGCCAAAGACCAGTGCCACCCTGGAGGCCGAGAGATGAGGAGACAAGGGCCACACAGCAGATGTGGGGGGAGTGAGACCCACAACGCTTCAGAGACACGGGCAGAGAAGCCCCTGACAGCCCCAGGGGGGTTGCTTGACTCTGGAGTTTGGGGGCACCAGGCCTCGCTGCAAGGGGGAGACTGGTGCCAAGGTCTCTGTGTGGCTGTTGTGTTTGAGACGCACTCAGAGCAAGGTGGGCAGAGAGAGTTCTGCTTCCCCACTCCAGTGCCTTCGCTGTATGCGGTGTGTGTGTGTGTGTGTGTGTGTCACTTTTGCAGGCTTTTCCTGGAGGAAACCCGCCCCTGTTGGGCTCCCAGCGATTCACTTCTCTCCTGTCTCTGCCACCTCAGCTCTGCCCAAGGTGGGCGTTGCCACCCATGGACCAAACCGCATGCTCAGATTTCAACTGCCCCCCATGGAAAAGTGGTGGTTGGGGTTTTGGTTTTGTTCTGGTTTAATAATCTGCCATTTTTTTAAAGGATTAAATTTCTTTTCCGGATGTGTTGTTTGTGGCATGGCTTGGGCGGAACGATTGGGGGTGTGTGTGTGTGTGTGTGTGTGTGTGTGGAGACTGGATGCTGCCCCACTCCAACCTTCAACTCACTGCAAAGGAGCCTTGGGGCGGGGGAGCGGAAGGGGTGGTCCGACCCGGGTGGCTCTTGGGGGGGTGACAAGATGGCCCCTTTCCCCCCTCCAGCTGTAGAGCGGCCGAGGGCACACGCCATCCATACAGGCATCTGCATGGGCTGCCTCTTGCACAGCAACCATAATGGCTACCGCACATGTGCACTCTGTAAGGGATGCCGCACATGCACAGTTTGTACTGGCTGCCCTGCCCCGGGTGCCAGAGAGGGTTCTTCCGCCACTGCTTGGAGCAAGGCTGAGCAGAATGCCAGGCGGGGCTGCCCCCTTGTGCCCCAGGCTAGGTTCCCATGCTCTCTCCAGGCAGGGAGGGCTGAGTTCAGCTCTGCCCCCCCCCCCGCTGCTCATCCTCTTCTGCTGCCTGAGGTGAATTGGGAGGGTGTGGAAGGTGTTGCCCAAGCCATGCTTAGCGGGGTTTTGTACCTTTGGCTCCCTTGCAGGGCTCTTGTGAGATTTCCCTGGAAGCCACCCCAATGGATTCTGCCACCTAAGGCAGCTACCTCAGTTGCCTCATGGGTGGGCCGGCTGTGGCCCAAACTCCACTCAAGAGTTTCCTCCTAGGCCAGGATCCAGCCAAATCTCTAGTCACATGGGGATGGGGAGGCTGTCATGTGCCTTCTGTGATGTGGACGGAGGCTTCGCTGCTCTGCCCGTCGCGTCCAAAAGGAAAAGGGGCCGGGTCAGAGACCTCCTCCCTTAGCAAAGGATAGAAGAAGGGCCTGCGTGTATCTCCTGTGTGCTTGGGGTTGGCTTGTGGCTAAGGGGGTCCTTCAAAGGTTGTCCCAGCCTTCCCACCCATCCCAATATACCCGCAAAGGAGGCCCAGTGGTTGCGACCCCCCACGCTCCAACTTCTGTGATCCTTGCCAAATGCGACAGGAGGAACGGCTGGCAGCAAATTAAGAAAACAGACAAAAAACTTTATGGGTTTCTTCCTCGCTCTACAAACTCTTAAGTCACATCCACCCAAGGACAGAATCAGGAGTAGCTCCAGGGGTCTCATAGGGGGGCATTTGGGGGTTTGTGGCCCTCCCTGGGAAGAACTGGGGGGGGGCTGGGGGCTGGCAGGCGGCAAGAGCTGGAGACAAGTTGGCACCAGCTTTCCCCCAGGGAATAAGGGGTATAATTCACACGCCCACAGATAAAGTGGGGAGGGGGGTCATTGCATGCACAGCTCACCTCCTTGCAAACTCCAGGAAATGCCCCCATTATTTTTCTCTCTCTGGCATCTAAAGCTCACCTTTCCCATTAAAGTAAGACTCATTCAGACAACCTCCAGCTTCCACTTTGTATGTGGGCATGCGTGGATCCGTGGGGAGAGGGACGAGCTGCATTGACTGCGGCCCCCGGGCAGGGGACAGGGTCTTCCAAAAGGGGCATTCTGGCAACTGGGTGGGGAGAGACCCGGGGGCACCTGGCCGGACCCCCTCCCGCTCCTGGCTGGGGGCAAACACTGCCCCTGCCCTGCCAGCACCCGTGCTGCTCACCAACTGCTGCTGCTAAGCCCCCCCCCAATCTCCCAGGGGCAACTGGGCCTCTATAGGCAGCAGCTGGTGGCAGGTGGTGCCAGGGTTGGTTTTGCCTGAAGTGCCCCTCTCAGTTGGGCGGCGAAAGGGAAAAGGGGAGGCCCAGCAGGGCAGCCCTGGATCTACTCCTGAGTCGCAGCCCCACCTGCCGGGGGAGGGGGGCACCCGCAATTAACACAAGGGAGGGGCGGGTGCTGCCTGGCAGAGCCGCCCAAGGGGCAAGCCACTGGCGCAGCTCACATGCCCGCCAACCTTCCACCGCTCTTGAAGTTGCTCTGGCTGAAGGTGGAGGCCACCGTCCCATCCACCGTCTCAAAGGTGATCTCCTGCTGCAGCTGCAGCTGCTGCTGGCGTCCTGGCGCTATCCTTCGGACAGAAGGCACTGAGAAAGAGAGAAAAATCATATGAAAACGATGTATCTAACCCCGAGGGAAATGGCTAAAGTGTACGAAAGAAATTCTGAAATGTGTTGGAAATGCAAAGAGAAAAAGGGCACTTTCTGTCATATGTGGTGGGCATGTACATTGGTAAAGGCTTTCTGGGAAATGATATATAATGAGTTAAAGAAAATGTTTAAAAAGACTTTGTCCAAAAACCAGAAGCCTTTTTACTAGGTATAATAAGTGAAGAGGTCCCAAGAGAAGATAAAAGACTTTTGATGTCTGCAACGGCGGCAGCGAGAATGCTACTAGCCCAGAGATGGAAGGATGGAGATCAACAAAAGAAGAATGACGGGAGTATGTGGAGATGGCGAAATTGACAGGGAAGATCCACAACCAGGAAGATCAAGTATTTTCTAAAGACTGGAGTAAATTTGTAATTTATTTAAAAGACCACTGCAAACAGTTAAAATCTTTGGCAGGGATGTAAAGACACTTGTAATGTGGCATTTTTTTATGGTAATTATGGTTATATAATAGATAGATAAGGGTAAAACATGCAGTAAATTTAATCTTAAAGATGGAACCCATGGAGGAAGAGAAGGTGTAAGGGTTCGAAAGAACTCTGTATTTTAATGTTTGAAATGGTTTTGTTTTATATGTATACGATTTTTCAAAAAATAAATAAAAAAATAATGAGAGAGAGAGAGAGAGAGAGAGAGAGAGAGAGAGAGAAGCAAGTCGTTTGTGCTTTCTGCTGCCATACGATTTAGCAACTGCAATACAGCCTTTGCTAGATCCATGCTCAAAGCACCCCTGCGGAGGAGGGATTCTCTTATTTGGCCCATTCCGCAGCTCCCGGCTGGTACCGTCCCCCACGGATCACGGCCCCCGAGTCCAATTCCAGCCCCTCTTCCCTGGTGCCCAGGTGCCAGTGTTTCCCCCAGCCCAGGCGGGCTTAGAAGACTCACATGCATAGGGTGAGGCGCTGACGTCGGCATAGGCAGAGCGGGCTCTCTCCATCCTGTTCCCCAGGGGGGGCCGGGGACACTTCAGGACTGGCAGGGGAGGGAAGCGAGAAGGCTGGTCAGCCCACCACCAAAAGCCCCTGAACCTGCTCCTCCTCCTCCTCCCCTTCCCCAATGGCCACCTGCTTGCTCACTCATCTGCCTCTTGCTCCAGCAGGAGGGGCAGTGTGGTGTAGTGGGTAGAGTTGGCACACTAGACCTGGGAGACCAGGGGGAGAGCTGAGATACACTTCTTGGAGCCCCTGTTTTAATTCTGCTTCAAGCCAGTCATGGAAAAAACCCATCAATAGAGAGAGAGAGAGACTAGAGGCCAGGTTCTTGTGCGGGTGAAGCTCCAGGCAGAAGGGCAACTGGACCACCAAGAGGACTGCCATAGACGTGCCCACTGCCCCCAAAGTGCCGCACCTGTGAATTCCCTCTGGAGGGCGAGGGAGCGCTCGACTGCTTGGGAGTCCACCCGGCCTTTGTAGAGGACGCCGTTGACACCAAGGATGTCCACCTCGGTCTGAAAGGGGGACAAAGGCTGTGAGAGATGAGATGAGCCAAGGCCCAGTAAGGACACAGCGGAGTGTAGGCAAAATGAAACAAATGGAGGCAGGGCCTTTCCAGCGTTGGCCCCTCCAGAGAGGTCTGCCTACACAATGACCTTTTTAGGCGCCGGGTGAAGACAACGGCAGTCGTAAATATTTCTTTCCACTGCTTTTTGCTGGTTTAGGTTTTTAGTTTCAAGTTGCATTCTATGTTTTTTTTTTAGTTTTTACTCGTAAGCCACCAATAGGGCATTTATCACTAGGTGGCATATAAATATTGGGAATCATGAAAGAAACGGACCCAACCCAGGCCCAACTACCAGCTCAGATCTCTTGAAGAAAGCGTTGCCACCAAATGCCTTCACAGAGGAGGAGAGAAGGACCAGCAGTCGAACCTCCCCGTTCAGAGACAGTGTACCTCCCAGCATTTCCGGGGGCTTTGGCTTTTCAGCTGGGCTTGGTGCCCCAGATGGGCCTTTGGTGCCCCAGATGGGCCTTTGGTGCCCCAGATCCAGCGGGGCCACCTTTAGCTGCTGTGGTCCTTCAGGCAGATCTCCCACCCAGCACCCTCCCCCCGGCAGGCGGCTCGAGGTGGCCCAGCGGCCGCTCACATTGTCGTAAGTGATGGCTGTCGGGTCTCCGTAGGGGTAGATGGTGGTGAGGTCCTGGGATCGGGTCAGGCGTTTGATGCTGCATGCTTGGTGGTGGGCCTGGCACTGCCAGCAGGTCTGCGGGGGCTGGGCGCCACTGGCCTCGCTCGCCTCCCCGTCCCTGAGGAAAGAAGACCAGGCCAGGGGGATCAGCATCAAGGGCTGGAGACTGCCAGTCCCCTGGACAATGCCTTAACGGGATGCCGGCTACAAACCTCGTTTCACTGAACTATTCATTTTCCTCAGAAGAAACTAGAAAAATCATAAACATTAAAGGTAAAGGGACCCCTGACCATTAGGTCCAGTCGTGGCCGACTCTGGGGTTGTGGCGCTCGTCTCGCTTTATTGGCCGAGGGAGCCGGCGTACAGCTTCTGGGTCATGTGGCCAGCATGACTAAGCCGCTTCTGGCGAACCAGAGCAGTGCACAGAAACACTGTTTACCTACCCGCCAGAGCAGTACCTATTTATCTACTTGCACTTTGACGTGCTTTGGAACTGCTAGGTTGGCAGGAGCAGGGACTGAGCAACGGGAGCTCACCCCGTCGCGGGGATTCGAACCGCCGACCTTCTGATCAGCTAGTCCTAGGCCCTGTGGTTTAACCCACAGTGCCACCCAACGACCAAAATTCACGGGAAGGGGGTAAAACTCCCAAAAATTCTGAAGTATTATAATCCTACCTTGACCCAGGTGAAGCACAACGGATTAAGGACTCAAAGGTACAATTTCTAATACTGAATTTACA